GAGTAATGGCACAGCAGTAAGAACGCCCATAAAGAACATGGCTGACGTTAAGCACAAAAAGAGGGAGCGCCCAGTGGAGGCCGAGGCGGGAAGCATGTGCAAACGCCACCATGCTAACCTGTAATGTCCCAATAAATCTCACTAAGGGCCCCACTGACCTTAGCCATCCCCCTGCCCATCACAGGGGCCGGGCTCATGACAAACACACACCAAACACACACCAATCACACACCAATCACACACCAATCACACACCACACACACACCAAACACACACCAGTCACACACCAGTCACACGTGTTCTACCAGGTTAGCCTCTGATGGGCTCCATCCATTCCAGCGTGGAGAAATGTTTGCTGCCCATCTGTGATGAAATAAGAGCTGCAGAAGGTCGGAGGGGGAGATGCGTGTTTGTGTGTTTACGTGTGATAAGTCAACAAAGCAGCGTGTTGAGCAGAGCTGAGCTTGGTCATGTGACTTTGATGTTACGATCCCTCTGATGTGAAATGAGGCGTCATGGTTAGGTTTTTTAAAGTATTAAATCAATATTTGAATATTAAATCATATGAAATATTTGGTACGTCTAATAAAAAAACTACACATTTTGCAGATTATTGTGAAAATCGTGCCACATAAAGATAGACAGATATGTTTGTTCTAGCTCCACTTTCTCGTATAAATACTGTGATTTTCTACTTAAAAATGGTGAACTTGAGACTTCCCTAATTCCATATTTTTACAGATATAGTCTTTGGTTTTTAGCTTAAACATTTCTATCACAATCACCCTCCTAAGGTCTAAATTCAACCAAATTTAATAGATTTATTTAGAATCCTATTTCGTCCAACTTTTACTGAGACATTTCCGAACAAATTTTATCCACAAAAAAAAACAACTGATCGCATGTAAATATTTCTTTAGAAAGAGGAAATTTAAATCTAGGGAGCAGTTTTTCTGTCTGAAGCTGAAACAGGATGCCAGACCTGTCTGAGGACACGGGTCCTCAGACAGGTCTGGCATCTTGTCTGGTCAGAGATGCTCAGAGCCCAGCGTCTCTTCCTGTTTGGCCATGCCAGCAAACAGGATGTGAAGGTGCCCCCACCCGGGTGGGGGGGGGAACAGGGGGTCTGGAGGAGCTGGGAGCCACACACAGCCACACACAGCCACACTAACCTAATGAGCTGTTTCTGCCGGGGGCCAAAGGGGGAGCGGGATGTTTCAGCAGACCTTTGAATTTCAATGAGGCGCAGGTTGTGCTCCCACCTCGTTTCAGATCAGACAAACTGCTGGAAAGCGGGGGGGGGGGGGGGCTGTTACTGTAATTCAGTTCAGTTTTATTTATACAGCGCCACATAACAACAGCAGTTTTCTCCCATCTTTCCAAACAGAGCAGGTCAGACCGACTCTGGAGTTATTTACAGAAGAACAACAGTTCCCACCCAGAGCAGCACTGGGCGACACAGGGAAGGAAAAACTTCCTTTAAAGAAGTCATATTATACCCTATTTCAACAAGTTAAACTAGTTCCCTGGTGTCCTAATGTAATGTCTGTGACAAGCTTTGGTCAAAATCCCATAAGGATAACGCTCACGCTACCAGGACGTCTCCACAGATAGGGGAGTAAGCTGAGGGGGGGGGCAACATGCAGGTGAAAGGCTGGAATATTATAATGAGCTAGAGCTAAATGACGTCAGAAACTACCCACTCCTGAAACCTCCTGATTTATCTCCTGGATTCAGACTGAGGCGGCCCACAAAAAGATGACTGAGTCATTTTTTTTCCCACTTTGCCTGCTGATAGGCCCTCCACAGTCCCAAATGTACACAATCAAATGATTAAAAACTTGGTTTTGCATAATATGTCCCCTTTAAGAGGCAGAAACCTGGAGCAGAACCATGGCTCAGGGTGGGGGGGGGCATCTGTAATAGTTCTCTATCAGTTCTCTATCAGTTTTTGGACTGAAGCTTCAGGACAGGAGAGCTGAGCCACACAAACCGCCTTAAAGGGCCTCAGAGAAAGTAGATTAAAGGCTAAATTGGTTGGTTAATTTTTTTATCATCCAAAAATCATCTAACTGCTCCAAACGGGGTCTTTGCTCTGCTCACAGGGATCACCACGGTGCTGACCATGACCACCATCAACACCCACCTGCGCGAGACACTGCCCAAGATCCCGTACGTCAAAGCCATCGACATGTACCTGATGGGCTGCTTCGTCATGGTCTTCCTCGCCCTGCTGGAGTACGCCTTCGTCAACTACATCTTCTTCGGGAGGGGCCCCCAGATGCAGAAGAAGCTGGCCGAGAAGGCGGAGAAGGCCAACAACGAGCGGGCCGCCAAGTACGACGCCGCACGGGTAGGTCCGGCCTTTTCGGCGCCCGCCGTTCGGCGCCCGGTGCGTTCAGGAGCCGCTTACAGCGTGGGAAGTTCAGGCACTCTGTTCCCCACCTGTGGCTGAATGTTTTTAATCTCCTCAGGAGGCAGGTAGTCGGACCGCGTCCCTAAAACGGTCCAATCAAGTTAAGGGCCTCCGCCACTCACGCTCGGTGAGTTGTTTTTCCCATCAGCCCGCGGGGGGGTTAGCCCCCCCCCCCCCTCCCCCCCAACGCAGCCGCAGGCATCTCCATGACATCGCCTCCATGGAAATGAGG